GTCCTTTACTTCACTAGCTTCATTGTCATGTGTGGCATCATCATGCTAAACTCCCTCAGACCCTCATGGAATTCTAAATATAAAGAATCTGAAATCAACAGCTATTCAAGTGCAATCTTTTATAGTCAGGCAGAATCTATTCTGACTTTTTAGCTGGTAGAAAAGCACTGCTTACTTCCAATTTTTTTATCAATTAGTTTGAAACTTGGCAGAAAATATTAGAATGCAACACGTTAATGTTGTATCTAATATGCATGACTATGTCTGCATTACCATAATCGACCCCCAAAGGTATTGATTTTTCAACCTCCCTTCTTCCATGACTGATTTTGTTTGACAGTATTTAAACTGTTGGAGAGACAGTAGACAAAGACACAGTACAGTACTTAACTTTAGTGAACAAAGGTGTAAGATTGTACTTGTATCCATACAAAAGAGGGGATTAAGATTAAGCAAGCTAGCAATTGTCACCCTACGTAGTTTCTGTGTCAAGTTTTTTACAACACAAGTCAAAGTCAACAATGTTCCACCAGAATAGTTGTACAGTTAGTTCAGTATTTCATATTGCACAAGTACAGTGTACTTCAAGCCCTACAAAGGCTACCGGACTCCTACACTCAAAGCGTGTCTCGACTTGTATTTTATTCATAAGAAGTTCACATTAAAACATCCTACTAACCGTTCCAAGAAATTGGTCTGCACACCCGAGACAGGTATAATGCCCTTTTGGCCAAATGAATGTATTCCGAGCAATTACCGAAAGGTAACAGAAAGCCAAATTGCTGTTTTACTGCTAAGGTGCGCCCTAATGTAGGTTGTAAAATTGTTGGGAAAGAGCCATTAAATGGCATGAATCATAGCCAGCTCACAATGCAGCTTTACCTAAGGTGTTAAAGGCAATAACTTCTTATTCCTCCTGATTCACCAAATTGTGATGGTGAATCACAATTTAATTAAAGTGTTTCATTCTAATATACTAAAATTACAAGTTCTCATTTTGCTATGAGCTGTACATATGAGGATAGTTCAACAAAGATGTCCCCTGACTCAGCTATTATAGGAGGCTGAAATTGCACGATTGTGTCAGTGTACACATCTCAAAGATCACTTTTTTTTTCATTTCTGAAATTTTCTCTTTAACAGCTGTTAGATTTGGAATTCAATTTGGATGGGTCATCAGGGTCCTGAATTTCCAGATGAAGAGGAACGAAACTTTGCACAGTTATTAGGTATTGATAGACCAGTTATTGTCCCGAAGTCCATCCCTTGTAGTCTATGGGAAATCATTCTGCCAAAATCTTTAATGAACATAGAGCATAGTCAGGACCATGCTAACTGCCCTGAATTCAGCTGGCCCTGCTATTACACATAACTCCACACTAAATGATGAAATACAAGTAAAGAAATGGGAAAGTCATTAGCTGTAAGTTCATCATGTACATTTTTATGATTAGGGACATAAAGATTTCATTAAAGGCAAAATAGATGTAAAAGGAAACTTTAAGATAATGTATCAGATCAAAATGATAAAACCTGGGAGAGTTAATGGAGCAGATCAAAATGTAGGTCAGGGTAGCCACAGTTAACTACACCACACTGTAACAGGAAACTGTTTCATCATCCCTGAATAAACCACCTGATGACCTGCATGTAAAAACCCACCTTGTTACTGTGGGAATGGATGGTTGTTACGTTCTCAGGGGGAGGCGTGTAATCCATCACACAACAGGAACAATGGATGGCAATAAATAACAACTCAGTACAGTAGCAGCATGCAATTGAAGGCATTGTAAAAATGTCAGGCTATGATGTTTGTATAGGTTACTGACCCAATTCTGTCTGTAACTCACTGCAATTGTCTAACCCAGCAGGTCTTGAAATACAATGTGTTATTCAGTTATTGCAGACTTGGGCTTTCATAAAGCTGAAAATCTATGTTGATAGCAACACTTTCAGCACCAAGGACAGAAAAAGCCATTTCATTGCTCAAGGTCCCATTGCTAAGTCCCTAGTAGTGTTTGGTTGAATGACATTTACCACTGAAGCAATAGGTCACATTTTCTGAATTCAAAGTGCAGTTTCCTTGCTCTGATTTTATTGCTGAATCAGATAAATGTTTTAGATTTTAAATTGCTATACTTAGAAATAGATATCATTTACTACTTGACAAACTGAAATTCTAGATTTCAAAGAATAGTAGAATGATTCTGCTACACACGACTGACCATCGTACATGATTTAACCATCATTTTACTACTTGACTAACTGACATTTTACTACTAGACTTGAATTCTAGGTTACAAAGGATAGTAGAATAATTCTGCTACACTCCACTGACCAACGTACATGATTAAGCCATCATTCCACTCCGTAATTTATCATTACAATCCTTTTACCCCAATGACCTACATGCTGTAGCCAGCAAAAGCCTCCTTGATGTTTCCTTGGAATCATTTATATTTTTCTGCCAACATTGTTTATCTGGCGAGGGAGTCTTAATGTGTATCCGGGGGTTAATAGGTTGAATGTTTGGAACAAGTAGGGAAGTGGGATTACGCATGATAAACTCCTGTAAGTTGTCCCCATCGATCATGTGGTCAGTTGCCCTAGATCTGCCACTGCCTTCTGTTTGAAGTTACGTGTTGGTTAGTTGTGTCTTTGAATCCCGGCCTTTGTCGCCAATATGACTTGTGTCCTATTACAACAAGTTGGACATGAGGGTGGAATACTATGCCTTTGTCCATGTGCACAAGAGCAAGACAAATTTTCCCGGTATAGTGCAATCATATGATCCTGTATGTAAACTGTTCCTTGTTCCTTGTCTATCTTTCCTGTCACAACCAGCCAAGGATTAGTTCTTTAGTGAGCTGAACAGATCACGTTTACCCTTCATGCATAAAAATGACATTTGCATGAAAATGGCATGACTTTGTTATGATTACATACTGTTTGACCAGTGTTCTGAACACTATTTTGCTGGCATTCTGCCCATGGACATTACTCCAGCTGCCTGTGTCTATCCTTAATTGAGTTCACAGACTTCCTGTGCAATTTCCCAGCCATAATGGTGGCCATTAAGAGCAGTAATCCCGCTCAAGAAGTAATCATGTAATGTAGGCATGACGAGACAGGGGGACGGGGGAGAAAATGTCCTCTTAGAAGTCATTTAGGTCTAGATTTAGCCTAGCCTGGTTTACATGTAAAAGCTAATATATCACAGTGAGGGAATCTGCACAGTGATCAGAGGCTGTACATGTACATGTTTACGACTGGTCTGTGTCCTGTCCTGATGGCAGTATTGAATGCTAATGGTCTTTAACTGGCATTTCTCTGACTTAATATGAAAAAGCAGCTACATGTAGTGTATTTGTAACTAAGCCTCTTTATGGGTAATTTGTTGGGAGTAAATGTCCCCTTCAGACCATTTTTTTTCAAAAGGGTCTCCAGCCATAGCCTTGGATTTAGCATTTAAAATCCCTAAATTTGTCTTGCCTTGCTTGCTAGCCTTCAAGCATATTTAAAACAATAGTTTATATGTCAATGATGTCTATGTCCTTGTACAAATCTGTTATGTGCATGTAACTTCAGGACCTATAACTATCAGAATTCGAAGATTGCAAGAATCTTATTTGTGACAGTCATGATCACTAGATGTCTATAGCAAGGGATGTATGAAGGGTGTAATGTATAGCTTAATAACACCTGGATACAACTTTAAGGGTATTAGTGTGGCTCCTGCTATCAATCACATACCTTATTAAAGGTTCTCTCCTAGCAAATGGTGTGAAACTTTTACTTTATCATCTAGCCAAAGGGATGATAGACGGTGGTTTGTTAGGGTTTACTAGTGCCCCCAGTAGTAGTAGGCAGTCCTTCCATCTGGTGCTCTGTGGGTAAAATAGTACCACTGTGTATATTGCATATTTAATGAGTTACAGCATAATGTATATGCCCAGCCAGACAATGTATATGTTACATTTTGTACTGGGTAATGAATTATGTGAATACACTTTAAATTTGTAACATGTGAATTGTACATGTCAATAATTTATATTCAAAAAGTGATCATTGGCTGAAGTACAAGAAAGAGTTTACCATGGACTATCAAACACAAAAAGACTACTGTAACAACAGTAACTGTTGTCTTCAAAGTTTCTTGCAAAAGTAACAAGCCCACACAAATCAATGATCTAAGCAAAAATGGCCAATAAAGCTTGTACTTAATAGTAAATTTGTGATGGTATACACACTGGTTAGACATGCCTTTGTGACTATCACTCCCAAGTGAAAACCTGGTACACCCTGATTACTTTATTATTTTCTATTGCTCTGCAATGACCACTGCCATGAACTTGCTTCAGTAGGTAAGGTAATTACATCAAAGTTGTAACGCGAGGTAGGATTTTCATTTTATGACAAATGCATTCCCTTAAAGTTCCCTGCGGAATAGTTTCATCTTACAGAGATTATTTTGGGATGAAGAGAACCTATAAAACATTATTGAGCCATCTGTCATCAATGTTACATGATGTTTTGATGAGCGTGTAATAAGGTACTTAGTACTTGGTGGGATAAAGAGGGTACATGGTTTTTTGTAGTCTCAGCTATCCAGGCATGTCATATAGCTTGCTTGTTGGCTTTGTGTTCCAGTAAATGACATGTGTTATGGAAGTAGCAGTGGGCAGTGTGGGGATACTGTAAATCCTGAAATATTTGCATTGGTTTCACGTAGGCAGACCCGTTCACTCTGTGGTTTATTAATGGTTATAAGAACTGGGGATGCCTTGTAACACTGTAAACATGTACACCTGAAGGTGGGTCATATTACCTACATGTATGAACTGCTACGGATTGTCATCCTTCTTAGTTTAGTCCGCAGGTATTTTAATTTACGGTAACTGTTATACCTTCCATTGACCAAGCATCATTTATCTTAGATGCTGCCTTTTGTCTGTTCTGGTTCTGATACAGTACTGATTTCCCTGTGACTGTCTGTGTAGGTTCCTGTACGAGCCCAACAGCCGTGCCTACAAGTACTACCGACAGAAGGTTCAGGAGCTGGAGGGGAAGAGCAGGAGGGACCTGGATGGTGACGATGCAGACACAGAGGGAGAAGGTCAGCACCTTGTTTCTTTTTCCTCCATTATTTTGCAATGCTTCAGGGGTGGAGCCTTTTTGAAACTTGTATCAGGTTGAGTTTTCAACAGGCTGCGTATGAAAAAGCTTAGTGAAGGCTGCAATTTTAAAATACTCCTTTCTCCCCTACCACAAAAATTAAGTCACTGTCAAGATTAACAAGATTGAAAGTTAACATGATCTTAGGGAGGAGAAAACTGCTCAGATGAGAGGCACATACATGTACAAAGGTCTGTAGTTGGACTGCCCAGATGGTGATATCTATTACAATACACCTTTCATCTTGACCTGTGACCCGTATTGTTCCCAGTGGCAGACCATGACAGTACTAGTAATTGCAAGATTCCAAGACATGATCACACAATATTCCAATCATCCTGCCACATGCCAGTCTCTGTGGGTTAGGTTAATGACTTTGAAGCTCGTTTCAGATGGTCATGGGACTAAGATTGCAATGATTAAACATCAAAAACATGTCTCTGAGTTGCTGATTTGGCATCTCAAATCTTTCATACATTGTAAATTCCGGGTAGCACTCCGACAGTAGTTTCCAAATGTTATGTTGGAAAAGATATTGTCTACAACAGGCAAAATTCTAAATGCAACATTGACCGAACATGCAGTGAAGACCGCGAAAATCCAGGGTTATGCACAGGTGCAGTACATGTACGTTCTGCCGACATGTTCGTGAAGCCCCACTAGTATAGAGTAGGGCTTGCACTTTCCAATGGTTTGCAGCTGGTACAATGGAAAGACAACTTATTTCCCAGCTTGCATCTGAAAACAAAACAAAATGAAACTCTATATCAGATCTTGGAATGTGCCCATTTGGCACAAAATAAAAGCAATTTCCCTCTTATCCACTTCATATCTTCACCCCTGATAAGAAGTAAAAGCACTTGTCTCAAATTATCTGTACTTGCCAGGACAGACGGCCATACTTGGAAGAAACGTTGATCATTAGATTGCTAGTTTTGTGTTAAGTCAGGGAAGTCATCAATCTGATTGGAGATACTGGTGTGCAATTTGTCTTTCCCTTGCCTTGCCTTGGAACCCTGCCTATGGGCCAGCAACCTGTCTCCTTTTAGCTTTTTGTATAGCTCAGAATAGCATTCAAACAGCCAGATTTCCTATTAGATACAGTGTATACTGAGCATGTCTGTCCTTGGTGCTAAAAGTGTGGCTACTATAACACATAATTCTTTAATCACGTTTTGTGTTCAGTGTTCCTGTAGGTAGCTTAACTGTTAAAGGACTCACTGTCTTTGTAACTGAATGACGAATATCTTCAACTACATTACTTGCGTGGTTAATGGTATTGCCTTGCACACAGGGACATTTGAGTTTCTGAAATTGAAAAATAGCACTAATATATGCCATACACACCCTACTGTCTCAGGGGAGACATTGGCTGAAGCCTGGCATACATTTGTATTTTGTTGTATCAGCACAGCAGTTTGTCTAATGAAACTACATGTACATGCATGTTGGCAAAAATAGGAAAGATGTGATGTACGATATGTAACATTAACTAGTACAGATGTATAGTCTCATTTTTCAGATGGTAACCAATTGATATAAGTCGTAGAATAAGTGAAACTCCACATAGATATTGGCCATTTACCAGCCGTACTCAATCCAGCATGTGTTCTGCCATTTGATGTTTGAATGGCAACATTGGCATCAGCTCTGGGCTTCAATTGAAATAGGGTTGAGTCTTAGGATCCAAAGTGTGAAGTTGTTTTTTCAGGCCATGTTGTGAAAGTGATCTTTGTCCATCCATTGTCTTCAAAAAGTCATCCACACACCGCACACACCACAGCATCTCAAACTGTAGGCAGAATACCATCGAACCTTGTAAAGTACAGTGGCTTGCACAGAAAGGTGCACGTATCATCAGTGTCTTTTCTTTTTGCCCAATGTCCAGAAGAACATTCTAAGTAGCCCGACAACAGCTATTGACATCAACCGAGGAAGGGAAAATTTAGTTATATTGGCAAGAGGTCCTCCATGGTTCACTTCAGTACCCAATATTGATTTCATCTGCTGGCAAGAAATAGGCTTGTTGAAGCTGCAAGAGTAATACCCAGAGAAATAGCTTTAATCCTCAGAGGAATTTCTAATTTTAATGTTTATATTGCAATAAGGAAATCTGCATCATACCTTCCCTTGGCCTTCAAAGTAGGGTGCATGGACTGAATAATTAATTTTGAAGAGTTCAAGGTTTTGACATAGTCATTTGACTCATTTCCAGAATTCATTCTTGGACTGGATGGTCAATGATTATATTGAAGAGTATCAAAGACGTTACTACTTAAGTATGTATAGAAGTGTTCATCATAGCATTGATCTAATGTTGGACTTAAAAAGCAACCATTTCATTGAACATAAAAGCAAATTGCATCGCCCATAAAAACTACACAAGTACCAGAGGTCGGGGGGAAGTATGCCGCAGAGGCCCATTTATAACATAGTCATTAATCAGGAGAATTTTAACGATGGACTGTTAAAGGATTCAAAAACAAGAATGAACCATAAATGATGGACCATGAAGCCAACTTAATTTCATGTAGATAAACTGAATAATTCAAGTTAGAAAAGTTAAGTTAATTTTTCTAAATAAAATTATTCAGGAAAATTAATCCAGATTTTCATAACAGCAACAGTTACAGAAGTACCACATCCTTGATATCATTTTTTCCAGCCATGATTAGTTTCCCAGGACCAGAGATAAGATAAAGTCCCTTAATTGCTGCTGATGGGGTTCACACACATCCCTTCAATCTTTCCTTCCACATCAAATAAAACTCCATTAAACCTCCATCAGAGCCCATCCCCTCCCAATCCCACATTGATTTCCTTTATTTCACTAACCTGTTTCCCTGATTAATGAGACCCTCTTGCTAAATGCCATAGATTTTTGTCACTTTTTTTCATTAGAGGTGGCCATGCATGCTATCCACATGATCTCCTGACCGGGCATAGGTGTGCTGTTCCCTGGTGTTTAACATGCCTGTGTGGGAGTGTGGAAACACACCATTGGGTATCACCAACCCCATTAACCACCACTTTTGGGCCAGTGGTAACTTAACTAACAGTAACTTCAAACTAACTTCCAACTTAACTTTGTAAGGTGATATTACCACAGATGCATGTCATGCTCTGTGTCTTGTCCAATAACAAGTTAAACACCTGTAAAGGCATAGCACACCAGATTTGCAGAGTAAGTACACGCTGCATAAACCCAAACATAGTATTGTTTCACTGGAATGGATCCCCATTCTTATTGATAAGTGCCAAAGGTTCTTCAACATTCATAAGGTGTGGCTCTCCTAAATTATGTGACCTCTGATTTAACATCTCCTCTAAAGGACTGTAACCCCTGGTAGCTTGCAAATATGTGTGCAGAACATCAACAGGTTGGTACCTATAAATGACTTTCACAGTTGTGCAGCTGTACCTAATGCCATTTGATACAGTCAACAGCATTTGTTCCAAGAGTCCGAATGATGTCATAGCAGACCTCTCCTTTCTATGGTGAATGACTTACATACTGGGCCATTCACCCAGAACATTACTGAGTAATATTCATATTTATATATCTGTCCTTGGTGCTGATCTGTTGTTCTGACGAATGTTTATCGTCAGTTTTATTTTATCTGATACTGAATTGCATCTGGTTCTGAATATCATCCAGTTGGACACTGTTGTTTGTTATGCAGAAGAAAATGTGTACTGAGCATCATTTTAACCAATAAATGACCCTGCCCCAGTGTTCCTGCCACACTCAAATGACCAGACCATATATGTCCTTGGTGCTGAAAGAACTGTCACTGTTATATTACATAGGTTACACTGGTTCCATTTTTACTGCATGTTGAATTAACTGTTAAACAACACTAACCTTGTTGTCCTTGTTTCTGAATGATGAATATATTCTGCTGTACAATTTTCATAGTTAGTAATGTTGTCTTGCTTGCAGGGATATATAGTGGCTCCTAACCTACTGATACTGAGGTTATCATTTTTCCACTTGCCATTCTTTTTCTCTCATCTACTTTCTGTATATTTGATGAATGTATATTTAGTTATTCTAGTATTTTCATCAAAAAGTCAAATGAGTTTATGATGAAAATACTTCTGTATGCTGCTAAGCACCTCTCCCTAGTCCTACCCAGTCAGTACCTGCACAGTCATTACTCTTGACTCCTTGCCCTTTCTGCTAAAGGTTAGGCCACTGATTGCCATGGCCTGGAAATCCTCTACTTTCAATGAGCTAAATGTCCGTGGAATGAAAAGGCCAGTCCTTTGAGCTGACCCCATAGGCCTTCTATAGGATAGGTTATTTTAACCTCAGGAAGAGCTTATTTTCTCCAATTCTCCTGCCCTACCCCTAATCTAATGAAGTGTTACAGCCTGAAATGGCGGCCAGGGCTTTAATGCCCAGGCTTATCAACTTTGAGGCCTTGGGTTGGGACATAAGAAGGTGCTTCTGATCAATAGCGTTATGGCAAAAAGGATTTGCAAGACGGATTTCTGAAAGGACTTACTGCTTTATGCAATCTGCAGGGAGATCACTGAATGGCCGTTACGGAATCAGATGAAAGTTGCGTGTGTTAAAGGTCGATGACCTTAATGGACTGATTTTGTTATGGTTTATGACAGGCAACATCTATTAATTCTGACCTGATATGCTTTATAGGACATGATCGCAAAATGCTACCGTGAAAGGGCAGTTTTTCCTCTGTTCAAGACATGATAGCTGAGATGACATTTTTCTTAACTAGATAGTGTATAGTCAGTGTAGACATGTTTTTAAAATTCTCAATGCTACTATCAGTATGTATGCATTGGTATAAGAAAATGCAATAAGTTGGCCATAAAATTCCTTCAACCACAATATTTTCTGACTGTGTTTAGAAACTTCATAATGATAATAATCAGACAAATAACCGCAAGTGACAATTTATCACAAAGTAGTCAGAATTAAGCTGTGACCTAGAAAGTTGACCCATTTTCATGCATGTATCATGCAACCTTCTTTCCTCATTATCCATTTTCTATATCAGCCCACAGGTCTATTGAATCAGCTATCAGAGTGTGAACTCCTCATGTCCTGTTAGTAATTGTCTAACTTTCCCAAAAAGATTTGGTGTTATAGAATTGTATTAAGGTGAAGGACATGAATTTACATTTCTGCTTGTTATCAGTAATAATAGTGGAATCGACACAGGTGTAATCGTTCATTGGATTTAGCTACACTTATATCATGAGCTCAATATCTTGGCAGCAATTTATTTGACTGTGAATAATTCCTTTGGATGTTAGACCTGGCACTTTGCCAAATCATGCAGTAGTAATTGTCATTCTACCCTTTACTGTAAGATCAACATCAGTCTACTTGCCTACAGGGCATATTCCATCAATGTTTCCTCTGTCTGAACAAGAAACATGACTTGAATATGCTTTACATATTTGGTAAATCCATGCCATGTTGTGGCGTCGTGTGGTATAGTGGTAGGGCTTTCGGCCCGGGACCCGGGGGCCCTGGGTTCAAATCCACCTACTACATACCCCGATGTTGTGCCCTTGGGAAAGGCACTTAACACACATTTCCTCATACAGCCAGTCTCTGAAAGCTGTCAAAAACTTTAGAGTTTGACGTTAGGAAGGGCATCCAGTCAGTAAAAACCTTGCTTCAAAAAAAAGTCTTGCACAGGCTTGCTGTTGTGCACCTCAGCATGCTGAGGGGCAAAATGACAAGCCCAAACATGCACCTGTGCAAGCACGTCTATACCCCCGATTCAGGGAATCAATAGACGTAAAACTCGGATAAGAAGAAGAAGAAGAAGAAGATGCCATCAATCCTATCTATGTATTTTTCTTCCACCTTCCCTTCTTTGTTTCAATACTTCAATGCAGATTATTTCATAATATGTATTACATGTAATGTAATAAATAACAAAAATAAACTGAACATTATTGCAGTTCTTTACCAAAATTTGCATTTTATAGATGGTAAAATCAATACAGCAAAGAAAAATCTGTGAATGACACATTGCAGTTTATGTTCAAGTAGACATCAGAAATACCAGGCTGAGCACAACTCTAATTTTACCTGCACATGCAGGTACAGTTTTTGTATTTCGAACCTTGTGATGTTGATGAATTCGCCCTTTTCTATGTTAGGCTTGGTAGCCTGGGTACTGCTGTACTGTTTTCATTGATTATTTTAAAAGTCTAATCCATATCTTTCATATGCGGCAGCTTACAGAATATATGAAGAATGATATGTAGGGTCATAAACTGAGAATGTTTTGATCTTATCAACTCTCCCCCATTCCAGAGTGTTTGTATGGCAGCAGGCTGTTAACGTGTTTTGATTGCTTTTTGAAAGTGATGCCCCACCCACAACACTGAAGATACATATACTGGGAACACATTGCCATAAATGTGTGGGATGTGAAATATCATGACACCAATCTGGCCTCGTAAATTTCCATACTAACAACCCTGTCCAGCTGACATTTGATGACCAGTCATAATTTACTTGTGATATTAAAAGCAAGGCTCATAATGTTTGACTTTTTAAACATTGAACACAGTCGTTGTTATGTTTTTATCACAAGAATACCCTTTCAAACTTGGCATTTAGACATGAACAACATGCTACCTATCTTCCGTGGAGGTTCATAAAAAGCTGAATAGAGTCTTTGTAGGTTTTCCAAAAAGGCTATGACATTTACCATTATGAGTATTTTTTATCAATAAAGCATTGAGAGCCAAACTACATTCTGCATAACCTTCAGCGTGGATTCATGAAGGCCACAAAAAAGCTATCACATTAACCACATAAGGAAATGTTTCCATGTGACAAGTGTAAATTCTTTACTTTTGTAGGAATTGATTTTATGGTAAAGCAAAAGGGATACTGTATCTTCAGTGAGATTTAAACAGTTGAAACAACACTGAGTATTTCTGTAATTACAATGGATAAAAAATATTATAATTATGCATTCATGGTGTCATGATTTTGGAGCAGAAAGGTTACCAAGAAAACCACAAGAATAAGACTCCCGTGAACATTTTAAGATTTTCAGTACCATAAAACATGTAACTGTTAACTACACATAGCACCAGTAGACAGTGGAGAATCCAATTGTTCACAGTCCTTAAATATAAGCTTCAGCTTGCTGCATAGCAACATTTAACACTGCTGCTTGACATATGTTTGTAGGCAGGTCATGTTTGTCAAGCTCCTGCATTCTATGGTATGAGATTTGTATTCATGTTGAAATCACTCAAATTAATTGCTGAAATCTGTGCATCAGTGGATGGCACTGTGAAAAGAGAGGCTCAGTAATACATGTATACTATATATATGATGGCAAGTAGCCAACTTGTAGCAAACTGTGCAACTGTGAGTCATCCATAATTGTGCCAGAGTTGCCAGTAGCCCCATTGGCACATCAAGTCGTTACATAATTTCAAGGCTTCTAAAGTATTACTAGATTCTACTGGTGCTGTGCAGGATTTGGCACACTAATCCGATAATGGCTGAGTAATGGGCCATGTTCTAGAGAGAATATGATGTGCTTAATTTGCTACCAGTAATGTTTGTAATATGAGCATACAATTCATGTAAGACAATGTACATGTAGGCAGCAGAGGCCAGTCTATCGTGAATTAGCAGAATGGGGCTAAGACTGTAAACATTGCTTTCTGGCTGTCAGAAATTCAGTTTTTTTAAAGTAGTTCTGACTCTCAAACATTTGCAGTTTACTTGCTGAAGATACGTGTTACATGATCATAAGTTGAATTAGAAAATGCTTATTACAGTCTATTTTTTGCAAGGGCATACATGTAGTAACTGTTATATATTGTAATGGTAGGCCTTGGCAAGCTGTTATGATCTGTTTCTTCTTGACAACACGATATGTAAGCAACCCAAGTCAGATTATTGGACAGGTGTGAAATGCATGTATATGTCAGATGATTTGGCAATGATAGTGATGCATATGTATGTCCCTTCCTTAGGTGGAGACACAGCACGAGGGATCAAGAGGAAGAGGAAAAGTCGCTGGGGACCCCAGGAATCCGTTGGTTCAGTCCCCCCTCCCTCTGTGGTGAACATCCCCGCCCCTGGAGTGGTACAGCCCGCCATGCCGGGGGTGAGTGCACCTGGCCTGGTCGGGATGCCACAGATGTCAGCCGCGCAGCAGCAGGTAGGTTTGCGGTGTTACAAGCACCAACAGAAAACTTCACTTATTTAGTATCTTTTAGGGTCTTCTTTTTCTTTTAAGAAACCTATCAATAAATCCAAATTAGTTAAAAGTAAAGAAAACCATCACATGTATGTGGCTTTCAACTTAAGTCACTGGTTCTTGCATTTTTGCTTAGAAAATGTCACAGAACCAAGAAAATATACTGGGGAGGCCTTGACTGTATTTAGCAATGATCGACGGCCTAGTACTTAGGCTAGCAGGCATGGGATTGGGAGGTCATGAGTTTGAGCCTTTGATTCCTATCTTCAATGTTATGTCCTCAGGAAAGGCTTTTTACACCACTTTGCCAAAGTACAAATGGGGATAAATGTACCACACTTTGGTTGGGAAGGTGAAAAGGTGCATGTGATGGAAGAAGAAAGATGTTCCACCTCCCAATACCTTGCCTAAGACAATGGATCATCAACACAAGTTGCCCCTTCAGCCTCAGAAAGGCCATGAGACCTGACTGTTCTGTTTTTTTGCAGAGTGGAAGTGGTTTAGGGGGAACTGGCACCAGTGCAGGTCCTGCCAAACAGTGGCCTGGCAGGCGGACAGAAGGCTCCCAGATGTCTACAGCACAGTTTGTGCAGCATCTGGAGGACTACATCCAGGTAGGACAATTTTAGGACAACCACCTGGCCTCAATATTAAACGTCAACTTAATCAAATTAAATCAAATATTTAGAAACAGCTTTGCAGACATGTTGAATCTCTTCTGACACAACTGAATTGCATTGAAAATTTACAGATTAAAAGCATATTGATAAGCACATTAAGATAAGTGTGGGCTTGCTATACAACACGTATTCACAATTCTTACTCTGCATTCTGTACGTCTTTTTTGTGGTTTTTACAAAGAAAGAGTTTTGTCAGTCAGTCCTACTGAGTGGAAGCTTATATTGAGTTTCATTACTGGTAATGACTTCATGTTCACTAATAGGCAAAAGCTAATCAGTATAAAAAATGGTTTACATTGACTCTGTGATGATGCTAACTGTAATATTTCTGATGAAGTGTTGAATTCTCCTTCAGTGGTCGCAGTCGCAGAACGTGTCTGCAGGTGCAACTGCAGCTGCCAGCATCAGCGGTGTGAACCCCGTGGGACTGAGGGGCACCTCCGAGTTATCCTCCGAACAGCTCAAACAACTCAAGGAACAGAAGGAGGTGGGTCAGGGTTTTAGAATCTATTTGACAGTGTCTTACACTAAGTTATAGCTAAAGACTCATGATAAAATTATACAGTATGGTATGCGCCGGATTAGCTTATTTTTTTGCAAACAATTGTATAGTATATTACTCAGTCTGATGATAGTCAATGTACCAAGAAACAAAATCATGAAATGTTAGATATGATATTATGTAAATACATGAAATCATATGATGAAAAATGTACATTTTGTAGATTGTTAATTTGTCAACTTGATGTAATGTACAAAATTATGGAAAACTGTCTATAAAATGGCTACCTGTCTGTGATTACCAAGTAACTGACTTTTATATTTACTGTAACTTCCATATGTTTACAGATGCAGATGATGTACAACATGATTACTTCCAAGAGGAAGAAGGCGGCAGAGAATGCAGCCAAGGGGAAGTTCAAGTACGAGTATGACTCTGATGAGGAGACAGAGGGAGGAACCTGGGAACACAGGAGGAGAGCCCAGGAAATGGACAACACTGCTGGTATAACTCATGTTTAATGTATTTCTTTCTCAGTTGAGATATTTTTTTGTAAAGGACTAACACAATAATTGTTTTCCTATGAAAAGGTGCCAGACTACTGTAATTCATACTTAATGTTTGCGGTAGCAGAAGTTTGTGGTCAGAGAAAAATGGACATGTTCGTGAATTTATATGTTTGCGGTGGCATCAGGTGCATTAAAAAAATTACTTGTTCACAATAAGGATAGGTTTGCTATACAGATGTGACTGCAAAAACTGTAAAAAAATTGTCATTTACAGTAGGAAGGGATCATAGGAGCAGACTAGGAAAGGATGGACACTTTGCTAACAATAGCATGCTACACGTACAACTTTTGTTTGCTACATACATGTAGCTGTATGCAAATGTGTAGCTAACATGCTATTTCTGCTTTCCAGAGTGGGCAGACAAGCTGACCAGTATGAACAAGGGGAAGCACTTCATCGGTGACTTCCTGCCTCCAGAGGAGCTGGAGAAGTTTATGGAGAAGTTTAAGGCTCTTAAGGAGGGCAGAGACCCTGACCTGTCTGACTACGCTGAGTTCAAACTTGGGGTGAGTTAGTGGAACATTTTGGACATTGTCACAAAGCAGAATTCAGTTGACTGTAGGTAAGATTTGACTTCAGTTGGAAAAGTGTAAGATTAAGTTTCCAAGTCACATCATTGTATGTAGGGCCAAACTGATTCAATTTCAACTTTGGAATTCATTAATTTTCTGCTGAAAGTTTCTAATTGAAGTGAAATGTGGTGCATTCAAATCCTAGACTATAAGTGAGATGATCTTGACCAATAGTACAACCCTACAATACATTATATCAAATAAGTTTTCTAATTTTTCTACTTTGTTCCGGTAGCTCTGGTTCCTAATTCTGATAATTTGAAATTGAAGACAAAATACTAAACATGAAAAGTTATTATGGGAAGTTGAGTCTACAAAATACTGTACTTCTCCAGTCTACAATACATGTACATCAATGACATATTGCATACAAAATTATCCCCTTGTTATTTTCAAGAAGACATATCTGTATTCAGGAGAAGTTGCAGTGATATCACATTTCACATCTCCCAGTGAGAGAACTCCAAAGCAGGAATCGGTGTGATCTGTCAAATTTCTGCCACCTTGCCTCATGGTGTTCTCAGGGGGGCTTATCCATCCCCTTACAGGGTGTGAAACGGACCATTACTTCCAATTAACACCCAGAGAGGCAAATCCAAGCCTATCCTTCCTAAGTAGATCACCACATCCGTTTCAATTTGCCTCAAGGATGCTAGACTATAAGTCACATGGGATCCTTGCCAGGAAGTAGGTTATTATTGAATCATGCAAGTTTGCTGTTCTTTTTTCATTGTCACCATTTTTCCTTGCCAATGGCGGTGATTAGAATGATCTAGAAGCAGACGCAGTAATACTCAGGGAATGAAGTGTCTGCCAGGAAATATATCCCTCAATTATCAACTTCTTGCATGTCTGAGAAGGTAACTTAAAGGCATTGGTATTCATTGATAGGGATTTCCCATTGGTAAAGAAATTTGAATTAATTTTCTTCCCACTTCCTTTTGAATCTCGTTATATGGTGTTTTAATGTCCTGCAAGGTAAAAAGTACATGATTGTAAATTTTGTGATTCATTTTCCCAATTCAGCATCTATAAATGCCACACTAAATAATCTTCACTCAAAGTTTCCAAGCTGTCACCAAGGTAATGTCCAATTGGTATTAAAGAAGTTGGTCTTACTCCTGTGAAAATATTTTTTATGGTAAAACAACAGCACAAGAAGGCTGCTCCATACTGTAGTTTGATATTACCTTGTTACCTTCTGTTTGCCTTGGAGCATTCTTTACTACTGCCTTCATGGTGTTAAATAGCATGCGAGATTACATCTACCAGAGGTTTCATTAGAATTCATTACATCTGCAATTACCTGAAGCAGCAGTCATCCATACTCCATCAGGTTTGGGTAGCACTTACTAACTAGAGTTCCATGATTTCATACCTTTGTCAATTGATGTTTGACATTTACAACTGATGTATTTGATGGGTTTCTAATCTAGTTCTTCGATTAACTGCTCTAAGACTCCTTCTGTGGATCCAATTTTTATATTTGAAATTCCCACCGGTAATAAAATATGACTAACCCTAACAGCTTCTCTAAACAACATAGACACATTAATGAAAGTCATCACAGCAAATTGAAGTCATCGCCTCAGTCTATCGGTTCCTTCCAAGAAGTAATGAAGTTCACTTGAAGTAATATAGGCAGAAGCTTTTGATGACCTTAATGGTAGTCTTTAAACCTGTTTTGAATGATAGTACGGGGTTTGTGCACTAAATCTTAATCCATGTGATCAAATGGGATCTAGAAGTCTTTTGGAAGGAAGAGGAATTGTGTGTTGTGCCAAATTGTTGGCATTAATGTGTGGATGTCTATGGAATACCAAATTACATGTTACGAAATCCTTTTTTCTGCACATGAAATATTGAAAACCACCTGAATCACATACCTTTTACTGTGCCACTCATTTTTTTGTCTTAGAGTCTACCACAAAACAATGTTTCTAGGTAGGTACAAAAAAATGTAGCTAGCATAGTAACATTTTAACATTCAGGAAGTTTGTGCCCTTAAAGAGCTTCCTTTTTGCAATATGACTGTATAGTATCAAGCCTTATGTGACTGTTCACAGACATGTAAATCTCTATACTAATACTTAGACATTCAGAAGCACATGGTTCCCCTTGGAAGTCAGCAGGTGCAAAGAAAATTACAAAATTTACAAGATGGAGGCTTTGAAAAAAAATATCTAAAAGTGTCTGTAACCTCTGTTGTCACATTCTTCAAGTTGGCCTAATATATTGGATCAAATTGAGAACAGTTTGTGTAAAATGCTGGTTTTATTCAGCATATGTATGTACAACAGCCATTGCCTGCCACTTATGCAATTGTAATGAAAAGTTTTCCATACAGCAGCAAAAGGAAAGGCCTTGCCCTCATAGCCCGGGACCTCCTAGAATTTGCATCTTATGATTATATTGAGATTGAAGAAAGACAGACCTTTGACATCCACCCTCCCAGCCATATCCCTTAGATAATCCCCCTAACTAACGTGTCTGTCAGTGTCCTTCTACTTGTTTCAATCTTCCTCACGCCAGTCTCTCAGGGCCCTCAACATAGACATACGTTCTGGCCAGTCATTGCCTATGTTAGCTTGAAGGTCACCAAACAAGATTTAGTACTTCTTGAGATGTGAGGTGTTACCTTGAAGTACCACGGGGGAAATAGGAAAGGTTCCTTTCAATTTCTCCCCTATTGGTTCTTATTTCCCATTACGGGTAGGAGGACTTGAATTAGCTGTTATGTATGCCCTAATCTGGGCCGCCCTGCTCAATAAGCAAAGTCCCTTCACAGCAGCGCCACTGAGATCAATAGGGGTTTTTTATTGTGCAAGCTCCTCTAAAAGCTCCTCAAAAACTTCTAACGAAACAGTTCATTTTCTTCATCTGTGCATTATAATAAATCAACTAAACCGAAATCATACCAGTTCTTTGCATTATCATGCATCTGTGTCAACTTCTTTTTTTTTTTGTCTTTTGTACATGCGATGGTCTCTTTTATTGGAGGAAGATGTGACTTGTGATTTAGTGATTGAAAATTTCATTGCTCATATTATGGCATAATATGGTAAATGTGAGAGTCATTTGCACGATTTATGATGAAATGTAATGATGATAATAATGGTATGGATTTCTGCCAAAGGATAGAACTTTCACACACACACAATGTAAACTGGGTAAAGAAGACCATCAATTAACATTATCTACAATCATAACCATATTAATTTTGCATACTCGATGAGGCTAGATAAACCATTTTATAAATCTCTAAACATCTCATGGAGGTATGAGATCTACAAACTCTTGTTTTATAGTGTAATTTTACAAAGCAATGCTGATAGATGGGTATGAAATAACTAATGAGCCACAACGTTCCCATGTGCACATAATTGCAGACAAGCCATGGAATATCCATACACTCCCTGAAACAGCCCAAGAACATTGAAACTACAAAATGTACTCCAGGACCGTTTTCTGATCCATTATTGGATCAACTTTTGACATGTTGAAGGACTTATAGACCAAATCTGGCCTTCCCAGACAATATTCCCGATACATACTTAAGTCAGATGAATGGGAAGTATTAAGATAAGCAGCTGTGGAGAGAGAGCCAGGATTATTGGTCGATACACCCATTTGTACAGATAAGACTAAAGGATGTAGAAAGGCATCTTGTAGGAGACTGTAAGGCATCCACAACATCTGTGGCAAGTTCTGCACCAAACTGGAATTTTCCACTGGCATCTAAATCAAACTTAAAGGCTGCACAATCCTTTAGAAAAGTTTGTTTTGCTCAAAGGCACAACATGGCCCTTTCCATGGTGCTGAAAAGGTGGATATTTCACCACAACTTTTTTAATCATCACTTTTGCACTCAATGGAAGAATTAATGAGTGGACTTGTAGGATGTGAATTGTATGATGTTAAACCTTTACAATTCACAGGGCATGTGGAAAATCATATCCATACACTCCCTGAAGCAGCCAAACAAGTTCTATACTGCAGGCTATACGTCTACTTGTTTAGGGATAGTATCGGCTGTCAGGTTGTGCATTCTACTTGCTTTATCAACATTAACTTAATTCATTTCACAGTCACAGTCATGCTGAACTGAAATCTATAATGACTTGTGGCCTATAATCTTAGGTAAAAAAAATTATGGAACGGAATTAGAGAGGAAGTAACAAACATCTTACTTAGTGCATTCATCTGATCACTCTATTTCCCCCATATGGGTAAGTGCACTTGTAATGATGATATACTGCAACATTTTATGCCACATGACAGAAAACTCAAGATGAATAAAGTACATCTGCACAGAAGCACTTAAGTAGACTGGCCTTGACTTTACGTCCATTTTGCCGGATTCTCCCAAACCCAGGAGGGAGTTCTAACATTGATGTTCAATAGATGCAGACCAGAGTGATGGGTACATCCATCTCTGAGCCAGAATAGATTTTTTGGCCCGGGGAATA